TATATATATATATATTTAGATCAAGAAATACAAGAGTGTCTTGCGCCAAGTCATGCGCAACAACAGCAAGATTTATATATAGATTTTTTAAAAGCTCTACTTCCAACAATTGTATAAATAAATATTTCTATGATAACTTACACATAATCTCTCTCAGGTATTAGAGTATATTATAAATAAGATACCTAAATTGTATAAGCGAAGAGATTTCTCTCCCTGCATTACTTGAATTTGTGTAATGACTCTTCTTGTGTCACCGTGGCATCAAATAACTCTGAAAATAAGCCATTGCAAGAGTAAAATTTTGGTGTATAAGAATTGGTCACATTTGATGTTAAGAAATTTCGTTGTAAAAACTGTAGTATCAGTAATCTTCATATTAGAATCAATAAGTTGTTAAAATATATAGTATAATGAACACAAGCTATTGCTTTTAAAGCTATTCCAATTTTTTTAACTTTTAATTTATGGAAATATATAACACATTTTTTTAACACATAAAAGACACAAAACACAACAGATCTTTTATACATATAGGCTTATAATGTGTATTAAAATCTTTAGATACAATTGTTACAAATTATACGAAAAAGATGTGAGAAATTACCGTTAGTATTAAGAGCACGTCTAATTGGCTGATTACTTTCAACAATTACAATGGAACGAAGTGCTGACGTTATATTAATCATCGTCATCGTCATCGTCGTCGTCGGAGGGAACGAAGAGATCGTTCTCCTCCAAAAAGTTAGCTATGTTCTTGCTGATCGTGGCACCGACCAAGAGACCGAATACGACACTGCTGACGACGCCCAGGAAACTGAATGGAGTTCTCTTTGGCTCGGGTAGGATTGCTCCGGATGGTGTGGTTATCGCTGACCGGAGAAACGGTTTGGATATTGTGTGAGTTCTTTTAGAGGCAGTCGCGCCGTGAAACAAAAATCTCACCCTATGCAACAGCATTCTGTTTTGCTTAGGTTTATTTTCAGGTGAACAGCTGATCGCGCATTTGGAACTGTTTGGAACTCGCGAGCAGTGATGTTTCGATCAGAGCTCCCTTTTTCGCGTATGCGCGTTAGTGCGGCTGAAAATATATCGGTGAAGATTATGGACGCGAAAGTCCTGGCGGATCCCGATAGATTCAATATAATTGTCATTAATATTGCGCGATATATTTTGCTATACATAAATAATATACAGTAGGAGCTTTTCAACAAGAAAACACAGATAGATCCAATGTCACGCAATTGACTATTAAATAAAGAATTTTTAAAGACCCTAAAATTTTTATATTTGACAGCTAATCATATGATTTTGTGTTTATGTGTATTTCTTGCTTGAAAAGCTGAGGCGATGCGTGGCGTCGGGCGTAGAGTCGCAGGCTGGTAATCAAGAGATTCTCCGGGTTCGATTCCGCTCGGGTCCCATCCTTCCACTTATGTTTTTCTTTCTAGTAAGAGTTACAAATAAAATTTATATTGAGAGAAGAGAAAAATACAATATTGCACATAAACAATTTTATCATTTTCCGAATATTTACGATTAAATCTTAGAACATATATAAATGGAAGGGGAATGCCTTTGTTTCCCGATAGAAAAACATGTCGGAAGGAAGTAAGAAAGGAAATCATAGTTGCCTCTCTCTTGTGAGTAACTCTGCTCAAAAGTGCTCATGCACGGCCATGTGTGTGTACACAAAAGTATGTATACTACAGACACGATGCTTGTATGTGTAGTTACTCCCAAGAGAGAGGCAACTACATTTTCTTTCTCACTTCCTTCCGACACTTTTCAGCCTGCTATTCCCCTTCCATTTATATATGTTCTAAGGATTAAATGCACATCTAAAACAATTATGAACTCTATGATAGTTGATCTCATTATTATTTACCACATGTATTTTGTGAGAAAACTAATTTAATCACTGTAATATTCACCTAATAATTCTAAATTCATGTTGACAAAATTTATGTTTACTATTGAGACGATGCGTGGCGCCGGGCGTAGAGTCGCAGGCTGGTAATCGAGAGAGATTCCAGGTTCGATTCCGCTCGGGTCCCATCCTTCCATATAACTCAAAAAGAGGTTTTCACACATTATCCTATATAATGCCTAGTTTATCATATATTATCCTATATAATACCTATATCTAGTTAATGGTGTATTATAGACAATTTCTTTCGGAAAAGTCTCCCAGCCATATCAGAGAAGAAAAAGAAGAAACTTGGAAAGCTACCATATACATTATACTGTATCGATTGTCCGACAAATGTATCGATCAAGTGCAGTTGAATATAATGCAACGATCTCGCTATTTATTATAAGTAGATTTTTCACTTGGAGCTTGACAGAACCAAGTTTTCCACTTAGATAAGCTAAAAGAATCGCATGATTATATAACTTATGTAATTATCTCTAATGCTATCAAAATGACTGATAATGTCATCAATCTTTTATTATCTCCGGACCCACTTGATAGTCACGATCATGGTCACGATGAAAGTTTACCGAGGGCCAGCGGTCTTTAATAATATCTCGTTGATGTTCTCTTCGTATATAATACAAATTTTTAAATTCTACTTTTAGTTGCTTTGTAATTTGTAAGTTAATCAACGATTTAAATTAGCCGGAGTTTCTTCTTCTTCTTCTTCTATTTTATGGCAAAGAACAGATACATTCTATTCATGCTGCCAGAGAGCCATCTAGGTTTGATTAATTAAACTGGTATAGGTATATAGGATAATATATATATGATAATGTATATTATACAATATAATATTACATAGGTAATATATATATTTTTATAATATGATATTATATGAGATAATATATATGATAAACTGGTATAGGTATTATACAAGATAATATATGAAAACCTCTTTTTGAGGCATGTGGGGGGATGGGACCCGAGCGGAATCGAATCTGGAATCTCTCGATTGCCAGCCCGCGACTCTACACCCGGCACCACGCATCGCCTTAAGCCTATCACACACAAATTGGCATAGCTGCATATGCATAGCATAAGACCGTCTGGACCAATGAGCATGCTATGCAAATCAATATGGCGATTTTATTTCGATGCTCATTGGTCCAGACGGTCTTATGCTATGCATATGCAGCTATGCCTATTTGTGTGTGATAGGCTATATGCTTATGATTATACGCTTATGCAAAAGTGTGTGCTCGAGCCCTTAGCCGGAGTTTGATTGAAGCAATGAGTAAAGAATCACAGGAGAGAGCATATCCGTGGTGGGGGTAGATTTATCGCCATAGACATAGTATATCTAGACCGAGCGTTTGCCTTTATTTAAGGAGTGGGGATAAAGATGCACGTAGAAAAGGACATACTCTGTTTCGTGCCCCTTGCGTTCTCTCTCGCTCGCACATAGCATAGCGCTCTCTTTCGTCATGCTACGTGCGAGCGAGTGAGAACGTAAGGAGCACGAAACAGAGTATGTCCTTTTCTACGTGCACCACGGCTCCAACTCCTCAACACTCGGTCTAGATATACTATGTCTATGTTTCCAATACTGGCACTACTGAATTATTATAAATGGTGTATGCAGTGTTGTTCTCGGGGATGCTTTCTCGCGCATGCGCAGCGCATTGGTAGAGAAATCCAGCGACGGCGTATGTAGTACATATTTGTGTACGTACATTACTTACAATAATATGTTTAATGCCAGAAATTTTTTAAGCTAATTATAATCGTCTTTTATTAATTTTTTATTATTTATTTGTGATTCATTAATTTGTAAAACATTTTAGATTATTCTTAACATTATCTGAGCAGAGGGCTTAACAGTACCCTTTTTCTTATCAATTTGACACGTATCTTAAGGCCATGTTTAACGCGCATGCGCGAGAAAGCGTCCCCGAGAACAACACTGGGTGTATGGGCGACTAAATGCCCAACCAGCCATAGAAAAAGAAGAAGAAGAAGGCACTAGTGAATTTTGGAACGGCCACTATTGGGACGAATTTTAGCAAAATATTCTAAAACCTGAAAAATGCATATTATTTTACAACAGAGCAAATGATGAATATGGATGCTATCTTCGAATAAGAATCATGTTTTATATAATCGGATTAGGGCTCGGCGATGCGAAAGATGTCACTGTTAAAGGGTTCGAAATTATTAATAAATGTGACCGTGTATACTTGGAGTCTTATACCTCTATTTTGACAGTACAGCGAGAAGCTTTGGTATCATTTTATTCTCTTATATTTTATGAAATAACAAGTTATAAACATGATATTGTCTGATATACTTTTATATAACAAGGCTTTTTTTAAATTTTTAAATTTATCTAATACATATATTGAATATAATTTTCTATTACATATGTTAATGTATTAGGAAGAGTTCTATGGATGTTCCCTGATCACAGCTGATCGTGAATTAGTGGAGAGTGGTGCAGACAAGATATTGCCAAGGAGCGAAGATGAAGATGTTGCGTTTCTAGTTGTAGGAGATCCTTTTGGTGCTACTACACATACAGATTTAATTTTGCGTGCAAAAGAGAAAAATATAAAGGTGGAGAAAATACAAAAAGTTATTAACATCATTTTTAAGAAATATCAAGATTATTTTATGATTTGCAAAAGTATCTGATAAAGATCATCTAAGAACATTGTTTTAGGTAAAAGTCATACACAATTCATCAATTTTGACTGCAGTTGGTTGTTGTGGTTTGCAACTGTATTCATATGGAGAAACAATTTCAATTCCATATTGGACTGATACTTGGCAGCCGGACAGCTTTTATGAGAAAATAGCTTCTAACAGACAAAGAGGACTGCATACATTGTGTCTCTTAGACATTAAAGTCAAAGAACCTACTCTGGAGAGTATCTTGAAAAAGAAAAGAGAATATATGCCTCCAAGATTCATGAGCGTTAATGAAGCAGCTAATCAGTTAATAGCGATACTTGACAATAAGATTCAAGATGGTCAGAAAGATTTAGGTTTGTTACAATAAAACATATTAGGAAAATATAGTAATCGTAATTGCAACAACACATAAACAACAAATAATTAGTATTTAATTAATGGTTGGAATTAATGTATTTATGCATTATTTTTGAATGGAAATAATACTTTGATTTATTCTTTTTGTTTTTGATAGCGTTTACACATCAGAGCTTAGCAGTGGGTCTAGCACGAATAGGCTGCGAGGATCAGCACATTATTGCTTGTTCCCTGCAAGATATGACCCGTGTAGATCTGGGACCGCCGTTGCACTGCCTCGTCATACCGGCCGAGAAACTGCATCCTCTAGAGATCGAATTTCTAACACAGTACATTCTTGATAAGAGCCAATTTAAAGAAATAATACAATAAATGTTACTTTTTTTATCGAATGTAAAGAATAGAATAAACCATTTTTTACTTCAGAGAGAGATTTATAAATTAATTGTAAAAAACTATTAGATATAATGGCAAAATATTTATTTTAGATGCAAGCTGTATACCAAATATAGTTGTATCTTTTTAAAAAATGTCATCATCAATAGAAACTTTGATGCTCTTAATACTTATTTAGATAAAATATTAATAATATAATAAGCTAATTTTTCTATTCTACTTTTCATTAAAAAAGCTAGATATATATTTTATATATATTTCTTTTCTCTAGAGATACATATGCATGCAAATATGTAATATAAATTATCAATTTATATTTATTTTTAATATATACCGTTTTTTGTGTACTTTGCAAGTCTTATTATAGATTCTATAGTAATTTCTATTCTCATAATTACATCATGTAAAATCTACAAGAGAGCGCTGTCGCTGATTATATTATTAAACATTCAATATTCTCGGCTATATACCCAGTGACCGATTATAAGCGAACTTTGTTTCTTGAGACTATGAAAGGTAGAAAAATGGATCACCACGTATCGCATTTGCGTATACCGTATTATTATTCAATTTCCTCTGGCCCTCCGTTCTATATTTTAAGCCACGTATATTATTCTGCGGCGGAGTCACGTGGCTGTGCGTCAGGGCCAACTAATCAATGGATAAGCATCGACCACCGCACCGGACGAGGACGAGGCTAGTATTGGTGATTCAGTTGTGCCACGGGGGTGCACTCGCTCGGTGGTGGCAACCCTTCTGTTTTATTCTCTCTGAACAGGTACTCCCGGCTTCCAGAACATAAAAATAGCGATATCTACGCAATTCATGTTGTCAGTTTTCGTATTTTAACAGGTACACATACCTGTCAGATATTATGATATACACGAGCACCGTTGTGTCCTGCGTAATAATATGGAATTATTGTATCAAACAAGTTTATTTGAAAATATATAAAAGATCAGCATAGAAGAAAATAAATGCGCTCTATTATACAAGGTGTAATCAAATAAAAAAATATGAGTTGAAATTGAATAGAAATCTACGATAAAAAAAAAATAAAAAATACGACAATGTTTAGAAATGTTTTATTAAAAATACTTTAAAGCTGTAGTGTTTTTTATACTATAAATAAAAAATAGTTTAAAGCATAGCAAGCCTATAAACACTAATAAAATATTGTTTATATTTATAAAATTATCTTTTTTAAGTTCGATTTCAACTTTATGTAGAATATCCCAGAAAATCGATTTTAGAAAAACAAGATTTTCTTTTGAGATCCCCTAATAAATATATATTTCATCATCTGTTAAAAGATTTAAGAATTTTATTATATTTGCTTGTAACAAACAAGATCCCTAAAATAATATGAATTTTTTAATTTTTAATTCCAAATATTTGGAATGCAGATAAAAGTTGAAGGATCGCATTAGTATCGTTTCTTTAAAGAAAAATTTATTTCGCAATCAACATGGTAAAAGGAGAAAAGGAGAAAATTGCAAAGGAGAAAATAGTTATAAATTATATATTAATTAATAGAAATTATATATATATAAGAAATGAAATTATATATAAAATATTGAAAATAGTATTACACATATATAGTCAAGTAGGATACGATGCTGAGCTCGACTTCGCCGATCGATCGTCCCAGTCTGCATCCTGGTACCAGATACCTCATCGCGCCGCGAGTACCCCACGGACTCGCGTCCGTAGTCGAGGGTCTTACTAGGGAGGTCCTGCGTCATCATCCTGAGGACATATATGTATTCGCGGCGCATCATTTCGAGAAGCTGCTGAAATTGCGGGAACAGTATCACGCCGAAGAATATAGTGGTCGCGAATTCGACCATGAATTCGGTTGCGAGTTCAGACTATGGCCCACCAAAAAGGCTAAAGATATCGGAAGATCTTCAAATAGTGATTGGTCCTTGGAGAAAAAAATCGAGATCTTTGAGAGAACGGGAAAGGAGAGACGCGGAAAGGTGTCTACCGACGTGGAAGAGAGCACGGATGTTTCTACCGATAGAGAGAATCGGAAAACATCGAAGCAAACTTGTTCGAGAAGTCTCTCGATGACTACGAAAAAAACCTCGAAAAAATCGAAGGACAACGAGACGACATCGGATATTCGCGCGACGAGAATCATCTCGCAAATGTCTGCTCTTCACGGCAAAAATATCCAGACTAAGGATATTAAACAGGAACTCAGAAGAAACAAATTAAGCGGCGAGAAAGCGAAAAGGACCGACGATACGGAGAAAGGGATTCGAAATGAGAGACGATCTAAAATGAAGATTTCTAAGACAAATAAGGATCCCGAAGAGGAGGTCGAACGTGCTACGACGACGACGACGAGCTCGAGTAGAACCTCCGCTCGGAGACCCTTGAGGAAAGTGCGGCAAATAGAGACTGAGTCCGAGACCGAGACGGAGCGTGAAACGATGACCAAGACTGGACGTGAAAATAGGTACAATAGATTATTATAATTATTAGTTAATTTTATAATAATTTATATGTAATAAAGTTGCATAAGTAAGAGAGAACTAAAAATATTTATTTTTAAGATTGAGAATTTTCTTTCTTTATTTGTCAGATACGAGAGATTGAACATGAAGAACAACGGTGCGAGCAACAAAACTACCGCTCGGACCGGAAGCAGGGAGAACAGGCCGAAATCGCGATTCTCCGAACATTCCTCTGAGAGGAAAGTGTCGTCGAGAGCGCTCAGCATGGACCGTATCCGGGCGTATGTATTACGCAAATTCGCGAGCACTGCGAGTCTGGAAGTATTGCGGTCGCCTACGTATGTGGAACAGGTGCAGGAGGTGATCGATCGCGCGGCGCCAATCATTAAAGAGAAGTTGGAAGAGGTCAGGGGACCGCGGGGAAAGCGTTCGAAATCAGTTGATCTCGCCTGGAACAAGGATTCCTTTCGTCAGCGCATTCGAGATGGAAAAAAATATCGCGATTATGAAAAAGAAGAGGAAAGCAAAAGAAAAACTGGAAACGAATTGCCGGAGCGAAAAGTTGACATTATTAAAAAGGAAGAGACGGAAAACTCTCTCTCGGGAGACGAAACGATTTCGAATGTGGAAACGGAGGAAAAGAAATCGAGGAGACGCAGCGTGGGATCGGGCAAAAAAACGAGAAGACGCGAGAACGGCGGCCACGGTGATATCGGGGTCATGGATCAAGTCGGCAGCAAGCACAATGATAAATTGGAATATGAATCCGGTGCGACACGTGATACCTTGGAAGCGAAACTGACCGCCACGCAGAACATTTTGGAAGATATCTCAAAGTCCACATACGACTTGGGCGGCATTCGCAAGAACGATCCTGCGGGAGGTGAGCTGCCGGAATCAGAGGTCTCCGATCACGCTAACATTGTCTCCCTGCCAAGCGTAAGACCGCCGTCCTCTAGAAATTCCAGGAGCGCCACTAAAAACGGTTCGGATAATCTGACTCTGCCGCCTATCTCTCCGGAAGCTCCCAAGTCGATGAAGAAAAAGGACGAGCTGTCCTTACCGGTTTTGTCAGTGGTGGCTAACGGCAACCATTCCGGTAGAAAATCACAGGATGCCGAGGAAGCCTCAACAATGCATGACATTACGAATGACATAGAAGATATAGAGATCATTCCTAAAGACGATTATGAAGAAGTGATTGTAGATGTAAAACAGGACTCCAATAGTAATCTAATATCGAGCCTAGTGTCAGACGAGAGATTTAACGATGCAGAAAAACGTGAAAAAGACGAAGATATGAACGATGTTCTTCTGGAAAATAATCCGGAGCAATTTACTGAAAAACGTGGAAGTCTCGAGGAATTTGAGGAATTGGAAAGAAAGAAAATGGAAGAAATCTTCAAAGACAGTTTAAACGTTACGCCAGAAGTGGTAAATGTGTCACCGAGGCCGGATTCGCTAGAATCCGACGAGGAAAAGAGGCTTCAAAACGACGACGTGGATTTTGCGCGAGTCAACACGTTCGACAGGTTGAAGGATAAGTTGATCGAGATCGAGATGGCAGAACGAAATATCGAGATAGCATTGGCTGGCCAACAACTCGCGATGCATGACGGTGGCGAAGAAACGAGCCAAATGGTAAAGTCGATGATTGACGGGAAGATAAATGACGTAGGAAAGTCGACTAATAAAGTAGGAGAGACTGTGAGTGAGGTAGAAAAGTCGGCGGATGCGGAAAAAATATCGATAAATAAAGACGATGAAGGAAAAGAAAGAAATGACGACGAAGAGGAAAAAAATGTGACAAATGAAATAGCAAAAGTAAAAAATGTAATAGAAATATCGATGAATCAAAAAGAAAATTTATCGAATAAAACAGAAAAATCGAAGGCTGAAGAGAAAATAGAGAGATCATCGAATGAAATGGAAAATACGACAAATGAAGCAGAAACATCAGTAAATGAGATTGAAAAATCAACAAACAAAATGAATGAAGCAGAAATATTAAAGAATGAAATAGAAATGACGACAAACCATATGGAAATATTAACAAAAGCAGCAGAAGAGGCAATCAAAGTACCTGAAGACGAACAATCAATGGATAAAACTGAAAGATTGATGAATGAGAAGTTGCCTATTGATGTGGAAAAATTAACAGTTAAGATTCATATTGAGAATGTACAATCTATAAATCCAAAATTACAAAACAAAAATGATCAGATTACTCAAGTAGCTATTTGTGAAACAGACGATGATAATGTAACGGCGTCCAAGAATAAAGCTGACAATACAGTAAATGAATTTTCCAAGATTACAGTTTGCGGAAATGCTGCGAACGAAAGCGAAATCTCAGCAATAAATCTTCCGGATGAGAATACTAGGACAAAAGAGCGAAAAAAACGCGAAATCGACAAGTTACCAGCAGCGACGTCACTCTCTTTGGAACTTCCGTTTTCATACGTTCTGAGCGAGGGTTCTCCCTGCGAGATCCCCGATTCCGTGACAACCGTGATTATTCCAGACAGACACTGCACGTCTCCCGTGACTCTAGAGGACGAGAATTATCAGTTTGGATTGACGAGTCAAAAAGAAGAATCATTTATCCCCTCCAATATCGCTAAAAAGAGCGAAACACAGGAAAATGAACACGGCATGGAAATTTTCGGTGAATATATCCGACCGGAAGCCTCTGTTTTGCCTATAGATATCGATTTCGTGCATGGTACGAAAGGGATAAAATCGAGTCAGATAGTAGTCGCTCATCAGGACTTGGACAGGATCAAAGAAGAAGGTGAAGAAGAAGAGAAAAAAGACGCTGAAAAAGGAGAGATAGAGAGCCCTCGAGAGCAGAAAGATGATAAACAGCCGGTTATACATGAAGAAGTAACGAAACTTGCGATTCTGGAAGACATCGTGGAACATGAGGAGAATGAAGCAACTAACGCGAAAATGACTTTCAAATCCAAGGATGCTGAGGAGATTTTCTCCGAAGTTCCCGAGTATGAATCTTTGCCTGATATCGTAGGATTAATGGCAGATACTGGCTTGACAGACGAAGAGAACATAAATCTCATGGTAGAGTCTCAGAACACGATAGAGAACTCATCG